AAAAATAAGCATTGAAATGGGTCACTGCAATGTATCTAATACAAAAAATGGATTATCTTGAAAGCTAAAGAAATGGGTAATTTGAACAATTCTACAAGTGTGAATGTCATTTCCAAATTGGTATAACCGCTTATAACTTTTTGGCCCTTTGAGAAGGTGGAAGACTAATTAAACTATAACCAAGATTTGGTCATTCAACGTTAAATTGACATTAATCAAATACTTAGCACTGCCAATTAAAAAAAAGGGTATATTTCTATTTGGTAATTGCAATCACCTCCCCTAAACTTTCTAACACAATTGCAAGTAGACCCCCTCTATTAGAATCCTCTAACAATAGGTATGAAAATGTCCAAAATACTCATTCAATTACTTTTAACCTTTTGAGCAAAATGTTTATTATTCAAATTTTCTCTTCATATCAATTGCCATCCCAAATCCTTTCAATCTCTTTTCAAAAATTTATTTATTTCCAAATTTTCTCTTCATATCAATCCCTTAAAGGTAAAGCTACAATTCTTTCTGCTTTTGTTCATAAACTTTGTATTGCTTTTTGTAGAAACCATCATCAATAGTAATTGCATGGGTATTTTGAACATTTTTGTCTCTGTGGGTAGGGGTGGATTTGAGTCGAGTTGAGCTAAACACTTGGCTATTCAAACTCAACTCACTGAAATTGTGTTAGGCTCGAGCTCAATTCGAGTTAGAGACTTGAGATCGAGCTTAGCTCGTTTCAAAGCTCGTAAGTTCGAGCTCGGCTCAACTTGGCTCAATACGATAACCAATTGAGAACACTTGGGTTTCAATGACAATTTAGGACAACTATACATGAAATAGGAAAACATGTAAAACATCAAATACGAATAATGATAAAGGATGAAATATTAAATATACTTTGGTTTTTGGGAACTTTCAATTACCATTCATGTTGAGAAATTATAGTCATTAATTTTGGTCTTTAAATAGGCTTTATCAAGCACATTATAAAATACTTGTTTTCTCCTTGTTTGCACATCAAATAATGTCAAATATAAAAGTAAACAAGTTCAGTTACCAACTTAATATTTAGTACACGTTGAGCAATTACATCTTTAATTTCAGTCTTTAAACATGTTTTATTAAACACATGAAATACTTGTTTTTCCCTTATTTAAACTTCGGAAAATATTAAATAAAAGGCTAATTTTTTCCAACCAAAATTCCAGAAATATTATGAGAACATCTGTACATTTTATAGTACTAGTAATTAAGCATGTGTATTGCACGTAAGAAAATTTTCTTCATATTAATTACTTGAATTTTAGATATATCATAGTTAAGATAGAAATTGGAAATTAACAAAGTAACAATTTGATTAAAAATAAACATAAATGTTTTTTGTAAATGTGCATGCACATTGCACATGGAAATTTTACATTACATTAACAAGTATTATCGTTATTATTTCCTATTATTATTATTATTAAATTTTGTATTCCATTTCTGTCATAAATAAAATTAATTTTTAATTTTTTTTACTATGATGAATATATAACATTAGAAATGTTCCCAACTGTTTTCGACAAAATTCTGTACTTATTCATTTTTTTTATGTTCTATGTTTTTTTAAATAATTATTATTCAATTATGACATCATAAGTTTCTTTGAAAAGTTAGATCATTGACCTACCATCTAGATAAGCAAATAGCTTTGCTTTTGGATTAGTTTTAAATTATATAGTTTATCTATATTTTATAAATAATTTTTATTTATTAGACCTAATTTTGGTTTGAAATAATTAATATATATATATATATATATATATATATATTATTTTGATTATTTGTACTTTTTTATTTTTTTTAAGATCTATTGTTTAACTATCATATCATTGATTAATCCATTTGACCCAAATTACCAACCCACCACCCAAAAAGGAAAATAGTTTGATTTATAGGTTGACATTAAATTTTGCATTACATTTCCATCTTTGATAAAATTATTTCTTATATATAATTCCTATTCTTGTTCAATATAATAAATTTATAAGATGTACCTAATATTTTATTTTTTATAAATATATAATATTAGATATGTGCCCAAATTTTCTCATTTTTTTCAAATTTTTGTGATTCTTTGTGTTTTCTATTTTTAAAATTTTTATTATTTGACAATGGAATCATTTCATTTCTAAGTTGATTTTAAATTTGGTATTCCATTTTCATCATTAATAAAACTACTTGTTATATTTCATACTTATTTTTGTTTAGTATATTGAGCATACAATATTAGAAACAATCTCAATTATTTTTTTTATTTTTTTGTATTATATATTTATATATTTTAATTTTTTATTATTTATTAACTCATTTGACCCTAAATAGCTTAATTGCTTATCCACCACTAGGACAGAAGAAAATGGTATTATTTTCAAATTGTTTTTTGAAATATTTTTTATACTATTAAAAGTAATGTTGTATATTTAATTAGTAGAATTTAATTATGAGAAAAAAATATATCTTAAATATAGGATTTAATGAGATAGAATAGGAAAATGGTTTTACTTAAATTTTATATTCCATTTCCATACTTAATCAAAACATTTCTTAGTTATCATACTTATTATTGTTTAATATGTCAAATATATGATGTTAAAAATGTTCCTAATTTTTTTTTATTTTTTTATAGTTTTTGCATTTTATCTAACTTTGAATTTTATGGTTTAATTGTAGCAACATGTATTGGCCCATTTGACCCAAAATGGTTTAATTTCTTACCACCACCTAAATGAAAACACTATTTTTTAAATAGATTTTAAAAGTATAAATTTTTATGTTATTGAAATTATTAATTTATTATATATGAATTTAATTAATATAATTTAATGATGAGGAGAAACAAAAATGCCTTAAATATATGATTCAATGAAAGTAAATGCGAGTTAATATCTTAAATGTTGGATTTAATGAGAGGGAATTGAATGAATTGAATATCTTAAAATTACCTATTTTCAACTCATTTAATATCAATAACCAATAATCCTATTTGCCCTCATTTTTATCAATAAATTTAAATATAGAGGGGTAGATTTTGTCCTTACAAAATTCCAGATATATTCTTGAAGCTATTCATACTTTTTAAAATAGTATAGATAGATATCTATATCGGTATTACTCACCTTGCTACAAATTGGGTCTTTCACACATAAACTAAGTGGAGATCATTTTTAATTTCATTTCATCTGTGACTTGATTTTAAATAAAAAAATTATGTTTTTCATGTTGATTTTCTAGATCAGATTGTTGATGTATTTATTAAGGGTCTTTTAGTTTTCATGCACTTCTTGAACTGCATGCCATGTTAAAATTTTTCACCTTGAGGAGATGAGACCGAATAGTCAAGTAAGTCCTTGATCTATAGAATGCACTCTGTGTTTTCAACTATTAAAAAAGATCAATGTGTTTAGAGTTTCATACGACTATATAGTTTATCTTGTGCACGTAGGTACCTCTCATCTACTTTCCTGTACAACGACTAATCCTATAATTCAAACCATCGTATATAAACATACAATGAAATCACTCAAATAAACGACAGAATTGACCCTTCAGCATTTGTAAATACAAATGCTGTCACTTTTATCAAACTTGCATATTTGTAGTTGCATTATTGAGCATATTTGTGTTTGCACTCTTCCCCAATAGATAATGTGTCTAGTTGCGGTGCAGATCTGAGATAGATACATATTTTCCACCCAGTTCAGTTTTGCATCATTTTAATTATAACCATGATTTGCAGTCCTACCTGATACAAAATTAGTATTTTTTCTCTGATTTGCAGTAACAGTATAAATTTTAGCATCCAAAAACTGATGCAAAAATTTGCACCACATTCCTCCTACCTCAATTCTCTCTCATAGGATCACATCATCTTGCTTTTCTACCTCACTCCCAAGCAAATAATCTTCCTACCTCCATTTTTCACATATGGATAAGGTGGAAAGGAACCACACCATTAATGTATATTTACAGTCGACCGGCCGGTTTATTTGGTCTACCATGCATTAGTGTATATTTCATTTGCATTGGTATAAATGCATGTAAACACTGGCCGGTTGTTTTTGCTTCAGAATTGACTTTCTCCTATATATTTATTTGTCAGAAGTAAAATAGGAAGTGAAAAGATATAGTCCCCATCTTATATTATATGAAAGAAAATTAAGGTAGAAGGGTTATTTGTTTGAAAGAGTAAGGAAGTAAGATGGATGTGATCCCCAAAAAGTGCAAACTATATATATATATATATATATATATATATATATATATATATGATTACAAATTAACTAACACAAAACTGAACTAGGGGAAAAATCAAGTAAAACCAACGTTCTCAGATCTGATATATTCCATGTGTGGCTGGATGGATGTGGCCAGCAATGTTTTGTGGACAACGTATATGAACTCTTCTTTGGATCTGTTAGTTATATGCTGCTAGAAGGGAGATTATTTTTTATTTATTTTTTCAGCTCCATTAGGATGGTGGGAGCCAATAGAGCATCAAAGAGACGGTTGAGAGACAATTTTGACATAACCGATCCCGGTTCAAAAGGAATTGGGTACTAAATAAGAGAGGATGAGTATCGATCAAGCAAAAGAATTACCAGCTCCCATCCAACGTAAACGGACCTTAATTAAGCATCTTTTCTAATTTTATCGCCACTGCAAACGGTGAAAGGGAAAACAAAACTTATAAAAGCAAAATGTCTCACGTCAAACTACTTCCTGCTTGCTTTCTAGGTTTCGTTCCTTCTCTTCATTTCTCTTCCCTCCTTTTCCCCTTCTCCGATGACCTCCCTCTCCTGACCTCTTCGATTCCACCTTTTCCTTCTTCCATTTTCACTCTTGATTTGGAGTGGAAGAAGGAAAAGAAAGGATCAGAGGTCAGAGGTAGGGGCGCCCCACGCTTGTAGGTGGTGGTGGGTGAAAGCTAGAGAAGGGAGGAGGAGGAAGAAGAGACGAAAATGGCAGCTCCAGAAAACACTGGCAATAACTTCAATATGAATCTCACAGAGAACACAATCATTTGTTACTCGCCAACCATGATTACGACCAATGGAATCTGGCAAGGTGATAACCCTTTGGATTACTCGCTTCCTCTCTTCATCTTGCAGCTGACGCTCGTGGTTGTCATTACTCGTATTCTCTTCGTCCTTCTCAAACCCCTACGCCAGCCCAAAGTCATCTCTGAGATCCTTGTAAGGAAAACAGACAGACCTTTATCATATTTTCTTTTTCTATATTCAAGATAACACTAACCGAAGGAAAAAATGATAATACTAAATGCAGGGAGGTATTATTTTGGGTCCATCGGTTCTGGGACGGTATCCGAATTTTGCCGACAGTGTTTTCCCCTTGAGGAGTGTGATGATGCTGGAGACAATGGCAAACGTGGGGCTTCTCTACTTCTTGTTCTTGGTTGGGGTAGAGATGGATCTGTCGGTGATCAAGCGCACCGGAAAGAAGGCGATGACCATTTCTCTGGCTGGTATGGTCCTGCCATTCATCATTGGGGCTGTTTTCTCAATATTCTTCTACAAGGAAAAAGACAGCATGGAGCAAGGAACCTTTATGCTGTTTCTAGGAGTTGCTCTCTCTGCAACAGCATTCCCAGTGCTAGCCCGAATTCTTGCAGAAATCAAACTACTTAACACAGAGCTCGGGAAGTTGGCCATGTCTGCATCCATCATCAATGACATAACTGCATGGATATTGCTTGCATTGGGCATTGCCCTGTCCGAGAATGATTCGACCACCCTAATCTCCCTATGGGTGATTCTCTCAACCTCTGCCTTCATTGCGTTCTGCATCTTTGTCATTAGGCCCATAATTGAATGGATGATAAGAAAGAACCCAGAGGGTGAGAGCGTCAAGGATAGTCACATCTGCATCATCCTCACGGGTGTGATGTTGTGTGGATTCATCACCGATGCCATTGGCGTCCACTCCCTCTTTGGCGCCTTTGTCTTTGGCCTTGTTATACCAAACGGACCACTTGGAGCTGCCCTCATTGAGAAACTCGAGGATTTTGTCTCAGGGCTGCTTCTCCCCCTCTTCTTTGCCATTAGTGGGCTGAGAACAGATTTTTGGAGCATCAACGGGTTTGGCACCTGGGGACCCTTAGGAATCCTTATTATCTTGTCATGTATTGGCAAGGTGGTGGGCACAACACTCGTTGGTCTCTTCTTTCAGATGCCAATAAGGGAAGGCATTAGTCTTGGAATGCTCATGAATACCAAGGGCCTCGTTGAATTGATCGTCCTCAATGTTGGCAGGGACCAAAAGGTTTCTCTCTCTCTCTCTCTCTCTCTCTCTATATATATATATATGGTTTTGTTTCGACCCTAACCCAAACTTACGTTGCTCCAACCTTGTCTTGGCCTATGTTTGAATATACATTGAAGAGTTGATTAACCAGTGGTCATGGCAAACAGGTTTTGAGTGACGATGTATTTGCTGTAATGGTGATCATGGCGGTGATTATAACGAGCATCATTTCTCCAGTTGTAACTTCCATTTACAAACCTGCAAAGCGAATCATATCATACAAGCGTAGAACAGTTCAAAAGTCGAAGCCTGATGGAGAGTTCCGTATGTTGACTTGCGTTCACAATCCGCGTAGTATCCCAACCATGATCAATCTCCTTGAAGTTACTCATCCCACAAGAAGATCCCCAGTTTGTGTGTATGCTCTCCATCTTGTCGAGCTCACTGGTCGAGCCTCCGCCATGTTGATCGTCCACAACACTCGCCAGTCTGGCCACCCTGCTCTCAATCGTACCCAAGCTCAAACCGATCACATAATCACTGCTTTCGAAAACTTTGAGCAGAAAAACTCAGGCGTTTCTGTCCAACCTCTCACTGTTATCTCTCCCTACTCAAGCATGCATGAGGATATATGTGAGATTGCTGAGGACAAGCGAGTGGCGTTAATTATCGTCCCTTTCCACAAGCAACAAACAGTTGACGGTGGCATGGAGGCCTCAAACCCTGCATTCCGAACTATAAATCAGAATGTCTTAGCCAATGCTCCCTGCTCTGTTGGCATCCTTGTTGATCGAGGCTTTTCTGGGTCTACAAAGTCGGCATCCGGCCAAACCGCCCACAACATTGCCGTGCTCTTCTTTGGCGGACCGGATGATCGAGAGGCATTGGCATATGCACGCAGGATGGCCGAGCACCCTGCTGTTAACTTGACAGTGGTGCGCTTCGTTCCAGGGGAAGAGGCAACCGACGCCGTGGTGCAATCTTACACCGACGATCAAGGCTCTAGCATCCTAACAGTGTTCACAGAAAACGATAAAGAGAAAAAGCTCGACGATGAATATATACACGAGTTTAAGACGAAGGTTACCGGTGACGAGTCAATCACATACATAGAGAAGATTGTGAATAATGGAGAGGAGACGGTGGCGTTAATACGATCCATGGGTAACGCCTATGACTTATACATCGTTGGGAGAGGACAAGGCATCGTATCGCCTCTAACAGCTGGTCTCACAGACTGGAGTGAGTGCCCAGAGCTGGGGGCCATTGGAGATTTGTTGGCCTCGTCGGACTTCGGAGTAACAGTGTCCGTGCTTGTAGTGCAGCAATATGTGGGTGGAGGAGCTCAGGTAGATGGACCCGATACCCCATCTCATAATAAGGTTGATCGATACAGTTTTAAGTCCATGAACAGATCGGTAATTATGGAGGTATAGTAATATTGTACAAATGAAGAGAAAGGTAACAACTTTGTAGTGGTTAGGTGTAAAGATCGATTTTGGTTGACAAACAGATGCATTCATCTGATGCAATTTTTACGACGACTTCAGTTCTCGGTTCTCACCTACTTTTTTTTTGTCCAATTTTTCATTGAATCAAGATTTGCTCCTCACCAAATAATATGCAAGTACGGGTGGATATATGTTGCATATATTTATGCTTAAAATGAAATTTTTGAGGAAAAGATCCAGATTCAGTACCCACTTAACGGTGCTCACGCCGTCCTCACAGTAACATACAACTGTGTATGGGTATGAATACGGTGTAAGCACCCTTTTGTGGAGACTGGATATATCGCTAATAGAGCACGCCTTAGAGCACGCCTCTCACAGCGTGTCCTGGTCGTACATTGGGAACATTGTATTTATGGGAAGTTGTTCCTAATACACGGTACGGTATGGTTGTGAGGTCGGTGTTATTCACACTCTGTGATGAGCAGATCCCAATTCTCTGTTGTGAGGACTGAATCTCATCTCATGCGAATGAATTGTGACCACTAAATTTATGACCTCAGCTCCCATGAATTGAGAGGCTGCAGTTTTTATATACTATATGGTTAGAACCTCGGCCTTTCTCCTAAGTTCATTATTTAATTTGTTTGATAATTCCTTTTTTTTTCTCCTGTGCATTAATGAAAGTGATAGAGCCAATGGGAGGGAGGGGAGGCACACTTGGGATCTTTTATACGCACAAAATTTTCTCACATCCCTACCCACAAGACATTGCCAAGTAAGTAACTTGTAGTAATCCTTGGTTAAGGATGTGAAAAGAGATTGTGGGTAGGAGATCCAAGAATCTCAGGCGGGTAGCCCATCCGATACCCTTAACCTCCATCCTCTTGGTAACAATAGGATTTATCTCAAGTATCGGCTACAAATACCGGTCGGAGAGCCCCCGTACCTTTTCCACCCATGCATAGTTGTACTCGAAAATATATGGGTTGTTAAGTTTTTAAATCAAGTTCATCTACACAAAAAATAAGGCCCATTTGGTGCGTCTTTTTGGGAAGATCTTCTGACAGTTTTAACGGTCAAAAGACGCATTGAGTTTTTGCATGAAGATCTGAGTAGCTCAAAGCACATTTGATAAACATGCTTCTTTCCAAAATCCATCAAAAATGGGCTTTTCACATCTTTTGGCGACTAGATCTTCCGTGCACTAAACAGAAATAGTCCCAGCTTGTAAATAACCGAAAGACCACCCGAAAAGACACACCAAACGCAGCCTAAATAAACAAATAAAATAGAGGGATCTATTTTGAGTACCAAGCAAAGTAACCATTTTTCAAAATCTTTCAAAAGAAAACCTTTCATTGTGGCTGAAGAGGAGATGAAGAAAAAAGGGAAAAATGGGGGAGATGAACGGGAATAAATGAAAAGAAGAAGTACAGGAAAGACAACTTCGGAACAGTTTTAAGTTTAGCTAATTTGGCATTAGCCAAAGTTTTCTTGAAGGACATTTGAGCTTCTCAACTCATGATCAAGATATACTATTCTCTCCAATCTTTATAAAGACAATGTGGGATCACTTTCATTTAGAGGCATCTTAGGAACAAAATCATCTTTAGCACAACCCAATGGTCGCTCCAGTAGCTAGTCTGGTTGAGGCCCTTTATCAAACACTTCATTGCTCCACTTCTCCACCCCATCCAGCACTTTCTCTGCCACTTCAACAACCTGCTCAGATTCATCCAGTGTTGCATGTTTCTCAACCCCCTGTGGTTGTTGTACTTCTACAAGTTCTTCTATTCGAATAATCCAGCAGGTTGATAAACTTATTACATCTTAATAGGCTTTTCAAGCTTCAAAACAATCTCCTTTCCTTTCTCCATCTTCTCAATCATTTCAAGTTTCTATTCCTTTTCCTCTTTCCTTTTCTTTAACTTGCACTCTAGGGCATTCTGCCCATGCTTATAACATTCATGCAATACATGGGGAGATCTTCGTAGACTATTGGCTGCCAAAATCCTTCCTTCCCAACACCTACCCAAATCCTTTTAGGGTTTCCTTTCAGCAAATCCACTTCTACACAGACCCTAGATGTCGTTTTATGTTCTTGTGAACCTTCTTGTCACTCTGTCCATTTTAAGCCCTCTACCAGCAACTTGAGCAATGGATCTCAGAAATCTATTATTGTAGAGATTAATAGGTAACTATGACAAAGAAATTCATGAGGAAATGAATAAAAGTTTCCCAACCTAACACCATTCCAGGCGTCTATTAATTTCAACATATGAAAAAGAAAATCTTTTATCCAGAAATCTTCCTTCTGCCAAACTCAATGAAACGGAGATCAAATCAGTCAAGTAACTAAATGGTGAAGTGAGACCATTGCCTTTATAACCATGAGTGCTTGGATTCAAATTTGTACATCTTTCAAAGTATTTTGGGGTTTATTTCAAAGCAAGTTTAAGTTTCAAGGCCGGTTCCACCACAGCTAAGGCTGGTTCATTGGGTTGGATTGGGTAGGGTAAACCCCTAGACTCTGCAAATAGCCTAATTGGGGGTCGGTTCCTAGAATTTGGAACCAGACCCTACCCTATAACAGATTGGGTAGGGTCAATTCAAGGCCGGTTCGAGGTAAGTTCCATTTGGTTCCAGATATAACCTACCCATTTGCTCAACCCTAACATGCCCAATAAACCATCTAATTCTAATGCTTCCTTCCCTTTCCCTTAATCTCTTTATCTATTTGTTTTATCTCTATCTCTCACCACGTTCCATATACATGCATCTAACTTTTCATCAAGTTCTTAAAATTAACTAGTGGGGACCCGTGCGATGCACGGGATTTATTAAGCAAAAGATAAATAATAGAAAGGGTCATTTACTAAAATATCCCTTATAATTTCATTAGTTTACTAAAATCTACCCTATAGTTAGCATTTTACTAAAACACCACTTATAATTTGCAATGAATTTAATCAATCTTCCATTAGATGACAGTGAAAAATGATAGTGTTAACCCTACTGTTCATTTAAATAAATTTAATTAAAAGAAAATAAAAAATAAAAATACCATTTTTGCCCTAAATAAGATACAGGAAACCACTCTATTGGTTATATTTGGTCAATTTTTTGTACAAAAAAAGTGTTAAGAGTATTTTTGGAATAAAAAATCATGGGCCTAATGGCCAAACAAACACTACTTAATGAAAGGTTGATTAAGTAAATAAGTTGTAAAATATATGGGATGTTTTAGTAAAATGAAAACCATAAGGTAGGTTTACGTAAATATGTAAAACTATAAGGTGTGTTCTAGTAAATGACCCTAATAGAAACACATAAGAGTATACAATTGTTTTATATTTTCAACTTTTAAATAATTAATAATTATTCATATTTTATATACTACTTTTAATAAATTTTTTATATTTTCACATAAGAGTGCAGTTGGTTCTTTTGAATCAATTGACCAAACCAAAAAATCGACCCAAACTGATACAACTTGAGTGGGTTGGTTTTCACAAAAGGTCAGTCGGTTTCAATTAACCAACTCCCCAACCTGACCAGGTCAATTTGGTTGGCCAAATAACCTACAGCCGAACTGAACCAACTAATGAATACTTATAATTTCAGCTAAATTAATAGTCTCATCTCTGATAAATAACAATAGTTTAATCTTCAATAATAATTGAAAACCTATAGTGAAAATACACAATTATTGAAAATATATTAATAATGAAAATACAATAATTACAAAAAGAAAATAAGTACTAAAAATATATTAACTTAGTCAATAAATAGTATAATCTCAAATAATAGTTTAATCTTTAATAAATATCAATCTATAAGTTATAACAAAAACACAATAAATACAATAAGTACAATAAATTAAATTTAAAAATTTCAATAATAGTAATTTAATCTCCAATAATTATTGAAAGTTTTCTATTAAATAAGTGGTTTAAACTCTAATAAGTACTTATGATAAATATCTAATTATTTACATATTTAAAAAATCTATAAAATATTTAAAAAATTTTTTATTTGAATTTTATTTATTTAAAGTTATTACATATTATTAAATGTTTGAAAAACATTTAAATTGACTATCCAGAAAAACATAATTTAAATTGCTAATACATAATTTCATGATATATTCTATAAAATTAATTATTAGATAAATTCGTTATTTTAACTATTTAAAATATAGTTATGATAAATATTTAGTTATTTAAATATTTAAATAATTTAGTTATTTAAATATTTAAATAATTTATAAAATATTTAAATTTTTTGTTATTTGAATTTTATTTATTTAAAGCTATTACATATTATTAAATATTTGAAAAGCAATTAAATTGATAATCTGGAAAAACATAATTTAAATTGTTAGTACATAATTTTGTGATATATTTTGTAAAAATATAAAATTATTTTTTGTGTTTTTGATAAATATTTTAAAGTTATTATATAATTTTTTTTTAGAATATTTAAATAATTCTTAAATTTTTTAATCCAAACTTTCTATAGATAGATATAGGTAAAAAGTAGGGGAGAGGATAAATAGGAATTAGAGATAATTCTCGAGAAAGTGGGGGAGGTAGTTTAGGATAAAATTTTAGGAGAAGAGATTATTTAGGTTATTGGGAAAGTGTATTTCATTGGTTGTTTCAAAAATGACATGGAATAAAAAACAAAAAAAAAATGAGAAAATTTCTTGACCGCTTTGTTTTAATATATCTATCTATCTATCTATCTATCTATCTATCTATCTATCTATCTATCTATCTATATATATATATATATATATATATATATATATATATATCTACATAGATAGATATGTAGATATAGATAT